CCCTGGGGCAAGGGGCCCCCGGAGCCTCACCCTGCCTCCACTCCGCACCCAAATCCAGGGGGTACATGTCCCCCATGCCTCCCCCAGGAGTGTGCGCAGTGGGGAGCTGCACCCCCTGGACAAGCTGCCCGCAGCTCTATCCTATGACCTGATCCAGACATGGGGCCCCATTCATCCCAGCCTCTACCCCAATCCCCGTCTCACCATGGAGGCTTCAGTCTGCCCCCCACCTTCCCTCTCCACCACAGACTTATCTGCTGGGCAGTACCCTATATGCCGTGGGGCTGTGTTCCTGGCCATGTGCATGCTGTGACTGCTTGTGCGTCTCTGTGCCTGTGTCTATGCCTGTGCATGTGCCCCCCCAACCCCCACCATCTTCCTGCTGCAGTAGCCCAGAGCCCGCACCTAGGCTGCCCTGCAGTCCTCTGCACTGCCACTGCTGCCCCACTGAGCAGCCCAGAGGACGAGGTGACAACAGTGGAGAGGAGCCTAGGCGTGAGCTCCATAACCATGTGCGTGAATAACACGTTAAAAAATTAACACAAGAACCAACTAACATGTTAATTGAGCATGTTAACTGTGATCAATTGACAGTAGAGGTGCACTGATACATAAGTCTATATTGTATCAGCACCAATAAAAGGAAAATTAACATTATCAGCAATTGGCTTTTTTTGGCTGATGTGGCTGATAATACCACCAATAAATGCCATGTGCATGTGTGCAACTGCAGCAATCATGCAGCCAGCCTGGCAGCTTGGAGAGCAGTGTCCGGCTGGTAAGTCTGTTGGGGTGAAGCAGCAGAGGGAAGGGAAGGGGTGTGGGGGCAGCAGATTGAGTCCCCCATGGTGAGGGATGGAGTTGGGCTCGTAGTGGCAGGTGCTGCCCAGCTGGGGTGCGGCGTAGGACACAACCGTAAGCAGCTCATCCAGGGGGCACGGGGGAGGGGGGTGGCTCCCACCATTGCAGGTACCCCCTGGGGCAGGCATAGAGGGCCTGTGTCCACCAGATCTGTGTGCGGGGCAAGCTGCCACTGCAGGCAAAGGCTGGCTGCCGCTGTGCCAGGCTCTTCCTGGTGCACAGGGGCTGGGTCAGGGCCACGCTCGGGGCGGGTGGCAGCAGCACTGGGGCTACAGGGAGGGTTTCCCTGTGATCCGCCTCCCAGCACCGCTGCCAGCCACCCTGAACACAGCCCCGGCCCAGCCCCACTCCTGCCGGGAAGAGCCCAGAGCAGCCCCTCTGCTCAGGGTCAGACTGATCGTCATATTTGGGATCAGGAAGGTATTTTATCCCATGGTCATATTGGTATGCACTGTGGGGGGGAGGTCTGCCTTCTCTGGAGCAAGGGGAATGGCCCTTTACCCAGGACCTCTTGACC